CTGGGGATGGGAGTTTCAGGTGGTTGTGAGCCACTCAATGTGGGTACTGGGAACAAAACTCCAGTCCCAGGAAGAAGGAAGGGCTCTTGTTTTATTCCATTGAGCTACATGTTTTGTGCTGGTGTCACGCTGCTTTTATTACTATGTACAGTCTAAAGTGAAGAAGGATACAACGGTGCTTCCTTCCAACATTGCTCTTTTTTTACTCAGAGCCTTTAGGATTTTGTTTCTATTTCTGTCAAGAATTCTACTGGAATTTTCATGGGGATTGCATTGAGCCTATAGATTGCTAATGGTACAATATGTGTTTTCATAATACTAAACAGGTTTCTTTCCTGTTGGCAAAAAAAGTGTTGCCTGGACTCTTCCTGTTTTGATTAAACAGATATGTTTGAGCCTAGTTACTATAATTTAAAATGGTGGTCTGAAACCATGATTGCTTTTGCACATTCCTAACAATTCTGATGGAGGTATCTTCACAAGTTACTCAGAACTTTCCTTTCACTCTCCAGTATTCTAATTTGTTCCGTGTTCTAACTGAATTCTGTGTTCTAACTGTAGGTTCAGTAGATCCTGTGTTCTAACAGTGGGTTCTGTGTTCTAACTGTAGGTTCTGTGTTCTAACAGTGGGTTCTGTGTTCTAACTGTAGGTTCAGTGTTCTAACTGTAGGTTTAGTGTTCTAACTGTGGGTTCTATGTTCTAACTGTAGGTTCAGTGTTCTAACTGTAGGCTCAGTGTTCTAACTGTAAGTTCTGGTCCTGTGGGTTCTGTGTTCTAACTGTGGGTTCTGTGTTCTAACTGTGGGTTCAGTGTTCTAACTGTGGGTTCAGTGTTCTAACTGTAGGTTTAGTGTTCTAACTGTGGGTTCAGTGTTCTAATTGTGGGTTCAGTGTTCTAAGTGTGAGTTCAATGTTCTAACTGTAGGCTTGGTGTTCTAACTGTAAGTTCTGGTCCTGTGGGTTCAGTGTTCTAACTGTGGGTTCTGTGTTCTAACTGTAGTGAGGAATGGGAGGTTCCTTCTGCTTTTATATATCTGGAGCTCTAAATGCCCTGAGTCATCCAAATCTTTTCTCCTGGAATTGGAGGATTTTCTGTTGATTTTTTCTAAATACATTATTTATACCTTTAGTCTGACAATTTCTATCTCCATGACTTACAATTTCAGTCTTTTAATTGTATCTAATACATATGTTGTATTTTATTTTGTTGTCAATGTCTGAATGTTCTAACTCATCCACCTTAACATACATTCCGGATACGTCATTTCCAATCAATCCATTCCATTGGTGAATTTTTTATTGAGTTTTTCATTTGTAAAATGTTCTAAAATTTCAGTAAGATTTTTCAGCATTTCTATTCTTCTTTCATATCCTGTACTGACCGTATTTCACCAGTCCTCAGTTAAGTTAGGTGTTTTTCCTCTTTAATTTCATCACACATTCTTATAATTATTCTTCTGAATTCTTTGTCTGCAATTTCACCTAATTCACTTGTACTGGAACCCATTACTGTGGTATTTCTATGTATCAGAGGGGACATACTTCTTCATTTTTCCTGTTTCTTGTGCATCAGGGAATCTTTCCATGGCTAGCTTTTTATGGGCTCTTTGAGCTGAAGTATTTGCAAGATTCGGGTGGGACTAATGTACTTATAGTAATATACTAGCTAAATTCATAGTTTACATTTTCTGGGAACCAAGTGTAATCCCCTACATTACCTCAGAGTATAGAATCAGTATTAATCAAGAGGTCCACTATGAAAATATGGTATCACCGAGGTTTTAAAAAATGCATCCTTCTAATTTTAATATCTAATCAGAAAAAAAGAACAAAGTAGCAAGGTATATGGTAAGATATTAATTACTAGGTGGGTGTACTGGTGGATGCCTTCAAACTCAGGAGATGGCGGCAAGCAGATCTCTGTGAGTTCAAGGTCATCCTGGTCTGCATAATAAACTCCAGGATAGCCAGGGTTACACAGTGAGACTGACTCAAAAAGAAAGAGAGAAAAGAAAGGTATTAATTAGTAAGGTTATGGGTAGAGGAGGAACAGGCTGGATTATGATGGAGATTATTGGGTCAACTGAGAAAAACACTGAGGAGGGAAAAGATGGCTGGAACAAGGAAGCCAAGATATACTTAGGGTCTACAGCATTTAAAGATTAAAGATATGGAAGGTTACAGTTAAGTGGAGGAACCAGGGAGATAGCGCTGTGAGTAAGGTACTTGCTGCCCAAGCATAAGAACCCTAGTTTCAATCCCCAGAACCCATGTAAACTGGCAAAGTAGTGGATGTCTGTTCCTATGGTGAGATGGAGAGGTGGAGACTGGAGGATGATGGGAACTGCCAGGCAAAAAGGATGGAAGGTGAAGACTGACAAATGAGATTGTTCTCGGGCTCCTCATATGTGCATATATGCACCCTCACTCACATATGAACATGGGCATACACAGGGTGAGGGGAGAGAAGTAAAAAGAGCAGGATATGAAGAAGAAAAAGAAGAAGAAGAGAAGGAGGAAGAGGAAGAAGAAGAGGAAGAAGGAGGAGGAGGAGGAAATGAGGTAGGGATGAGAGGTGTCTATACGCTGTGTATAAGAATAGTAAAAAGTACAAAATAGAATGAGTACAAAGCATACAGAAAAATAATAAAACCCAAGTAATATAAAACTAAAATAAGGCCATTAAGAGTTATTTGTGCATAATAAAAACAGATGGCCAAGTGAAATAAATGTATAATAGATAAAAACACATCATCACAATCACATCAGTGCATGCTTCCTTCTTCAGTGGATGGGTTCTGAACTCCTTCCCCTCCCATGGATACTTCATGTACCATGCTGTATAGCTCTTGGTTCCCACATTGTCAGTACATGTGACAGTGAGGGTGTCCTCCAGCTTCAGAGTCACTAGCCCTGACAGTATCTGTTCCTGGTATACCACGCTGTGGTTTTATGTATGCATTGTATCACTTCAGCTTGTCCCTCTCCAGCGCTGGTGTGGAGCAAAGGATGAAGGTGAAAGACCTTGCTGGCGGCTTCTTGGTCCCCATAGGCATGCAAGAAGACACTCTGCTTCAGGCACACATCCATCCCTGGCCTGTCTCTCTCTGTCCTTGGTGTCCCCAGCCCTTGGTCCTGCTCCACACCTCTTCTCTCTCTCTCTGGCTGTTGAGTAGTAATGTTGGTATGTAGGAAAAGGGATTATAAGCTCTCATGTAGCAGCCACCACTGACCTCAGCTGGAACCATGCATACTGGGGCTGAATTTCTTCAAGTTCCTTAGTCCTGCATTGTAGAGCCTGCACTGGTCCTGGTCTCTCTGACAATGGTTTGTCCATTCCCTGGTCCGTCCAGCTAACCACTGAATGAGGTGGGAGAGCACTCTCTGGTAGTTCTTACTGACCTTGGCCAAACCCATGTAGTATGTAACTGGGCACCAGCTCCTGCCTATTTCCATGCAGAGATTTCACCTGCTTTATAAAATCACTTGTAGCTACTGAAAAAATTAGACACCATGTGTATTACTCCGGCCATTCCTTTCCACCAATTTCAAATGTATGAGGGTTTCTAATCTGCCATCTTACCTGGAAGGCCCTACCTTCAAAATTTTGATGTTTAAAATTGATGGTCATCCTTCCCACCCCCGGCAGATAAAAAAAAAAAAAATAAACTCCGTATTTAACTTATACAGAATATACCTCAATTGGAGTGTTTCTCTCAAGGTCTGGTTTTTAGCATACAGCCTTTTTTTTTTAAAAAAAAAAACATAATCAAATAATGAATTCAGAGGGTATTATTTTCTCTTGAAAAGCCCCTTATAAAGTCATACACATCTCTGAAAGATGAACCTACCAAAATAGGAATTCCAAAGCTAAGGTGAGCTTAACAAAAACCCTGATAGCATCTATAAATGAAAAAGAAACATGCATTAGGAGCAATGATGTGTTACCTATGACCCACTTTGGAAGTGAAGGCAAGAGTAATGCTAACTCCAGGACCAGCACGGACTCATCACAGTGAAACCCCTCTCAAAACCCAAACAAAGCAAAGCAAAGGGACACACCATAGCTTCATTTTAGAAGACCCAAGAGGTACCGAGGCAGCAGGACAGGTTTTTGCTATGTTGTTCAAGTCTTCCCCCATCAGGACTGTATTTTGTTTGGCTGCATGACAAAGACATGAGGAAAGGTTCAAACCTACAAGGTAATCTGCAAGATCATGTCTTAATGGTCATGGGGTCAGAGTGATGCTGGGGTAAGAATGCAACCCAGAGAAAGGTCACGTGGGAAGCTGCTGCCTCCTGGGCCAGATTCTGGTGGGCAACATGCTTCTAGAAAGCTAACTACAGGAACACACTTCAGGAGGGACAGATGCATTGTGGAACCACATGACAAGCAGAATGGCGACGACATAGTAAGAAAGGTGGACCACAAAGGCAGAGTGGGCCTGGAAAGATCTCTGAACAACTCAGCTCTAGACTACTTACTTCCAGATATCTTGACACCTGAGTCATATACATTCACTTCCAGCCAAACACATTCTAACTGGAGAACCAGACTCTGATGCCTGAGATTTCTCTGCCCAAAAAGTCTTCTGTAAGTCACATCCCCTGGCACACATTCAAAGTTGCCTCAGGGTATGGTCCCAGAGTGGACTATAGAAATGCATCCAGAAAAGAGGGCTGGGAAGGGGCTCGGATGGTAGAATGTCTGCTGCCTAAGCTTTAAGAAGTAAGCTTGAATTCCAGTTAGTCTTGCTAAATTAATGAGCATCAGACAGATCTGATCTCAAAAAATTTAAAATAGAGAGCAATAGAGGAAGACACCTGATGCTGACCTCTGGCTTCCAGAGGTCACATATATACTAGTATGCACACAGGAACATGTACACACATGCAATCCCACCCCACCCCCATTTTCAAAAAATGAGTTTTAATACATGCAAAATCTAAGAATACAAAACTCCCAGGGTACTAAATAATATATCTTGTTGCTACTTCACCTTAGAAATGTTGCTTGGATGACTCATGGAATGTCCCAAAGTCTTCTCATTCTGCAAGAAAGTCAAAACAGGTAGTAATTATTAAGCTATGATTAAAAATATTCAAGGAACAAACAATCAATACAACACTTCTAGTTACAATTTATTCCTGTAAGCACAAGCCACTATACTAGAGATATATATTCCTAGGTATTAAAATGGGAAATTTGGGCAAAAGTAAATAAAACAATGTCCCTTGTCCTAAAGGAACTCATCAAGGAAAAAGCAGGATATTTGAACTATAAAAACAAAGCCATGCCGGGCATTGGTGGCGCACACCTTTAGTCCTAGCATTTGGGAGGCAGAGGCAGGCGGATCTCTGTGAGATTCAGGCCAGCCTGATCTACAGAGCTAGTTCCAGGACTGGCTCCAAAACTAAGCCACTGTAACTGTCTTAAGATACTTTCAGGTCATAGTTCAGTGGTGGATGGGTCCCACTTTGCTGACAGAACTGCTTAACAAAGTGTACCACATACCCTCCTCCCACTTAAACAGAAACCTCACTATCAGTACCCCAAAGACAGATTGGGGGTCACTAGATGGAATGTTAGCTGACATTCTCAAGAAGAAATCACACCTACATTCGACACTAACAGGTTGACATCTGATCAAAATGCCAGTGGTTATGAGGAGGCTGGATTATTGCAGGTCCAGAACCAAACTAAAGCCCTTTAAGAAATCAGTCGCTGCCCACTGCTGTGTGTGTGGTCCCTGTGGCTGTTAGATCACAGACCCTCTCGCTGCTCCCTCACATATCAAGCTCCTGGCAAGCTCCTCCTATCCAGCAGGCACCTGGACAAATGGGGTCACATAATAATCTAAGCCCCTCCTCCTCCCTTGGAGACCTTGAAGATTGGGCACCCTGCTTTGTCTGGTGGGACTATAGCTTCTCTTGCTTCAGAGCCTGATCACACTTGTGCTGCGGCCTGTGTCTGCTGTGTCTGTAACACAGCCTCACATGGAGAGATCATCTGGGTCCACACTTTTTTCTCGCTCTGTAGCTTCCTCCCCTTTCTGGTCCTAAAGACAAGTGGCTACTAGGCATATTATTTTGGAATGTATAAACAAATTTACAGCTTTTGCCTACCCAGAGCTAAAGGTATCATCAGATAGGCTCTGAGCCTATAGCAGAGGGTTCTCTGCTTGACGTTACCTGCCTGCTTCATGCTTCCCCCAATATATTTAAAGGGTCATAATGTATTATTTTCTTTGTTCTGCTCCTATAAAACATCACGAAACTGTTACCATACTGGATCTGTGTATAAGATAACATGAATCTGTGTTCCTGGGTCACAGTCATTGCAATCTAGCTTTGGAGCATTCGATCTCACTTCTTTCTCTGAGAGCTTTGCCTGTTGCCTCAATGGGTATGATACCTTTAATATGAAACCCCAAGGCCAAGCCACCCTCATGGGATAAGTCACCCTGATCAGAGCCAGGACAGAATTAGTCCTTCCTACCTATTGCCTGGCTGCCTTATACCTGAAGGTTAGTGAGTTCCTTCTGATGCTCTCGCCTAAACCTAGTTTGGTTTGGTCCAGTAGTTTAGTATGAGATGGATTAGGATTCTAGCTGCTGGCTACCTTTTATGGTTTGCTTTCAGGGCACTTGGTTTAAAGTATCCATTCTGTTTATTTGCTCTGAAAACACTCTGGTTTCCAAATGTTATGTACACATGGCTGGCCTGGAACTTTCTCTGTAGACCAGGCTAACCTTAAACTCAGAGATCGTCCTGCCTCTGCCTCCTGAGTGCTGGGATGAAAGGCGGTTAAAGGTGTGTGACGGCCATCACAATAGCACTGGTACTATATCAGGTTTGTCAGCGTCCTAGCATTCAGTTGTCTCCATGACATTCCTCCAATACCAAGTTCAAGGAAATATTTAGACACAGGAAATATTTAGAAAAATAGTTCTCTGATACTGTGTTAATTCATCTTGCAACTACTGAGGGGCTGTAATTAAAGAAATACGGAATACTTGATGTTTATTATTTTTTGAGTGCTAAATGAAAATTCCTAGGCAACAGAATTATACATTATAAAAGGACACCTTGCTTTAATTGAAGTTTTTAAAAAACATTTAAGGAAAGAATAACATTTTATGGGTAACTTAAAAATTCAGAAAAGGAAAAAAAATGCATGTTGTCCCTCATATGTGATGCTATTTTATAATGTATGTACATATATACACCATACACACAATCTTAAACAGGAATCTGACTATGACTTATAAACCTATATTCAACAAATATACTAAGGTGAACTTACCTGAAGACAAAATGCACCATTAATCATGAGGCAGTGTACTCTAAATTAATAGTGATGTAGTTATCTGCTTTGTTTTTTAATTCTTTTTAAAACTTAAATAACAGAGTGACAAACATTAAGAAAATAGATGAGATTGTGGTGGTATTTATGATATATTAAAAGCTTGCCTGAGGATTCAGAAAGGAAAGACAGCCTCAAGCTATAGCAATGAGGCAGTGGTGGCAGACAACTTTAACCCCAGGACTCAGGAGACAAAGGCAGATGGATCTCTCTGAGCTCAAGGCCACACAGGGCTACACAAGATTGAATCAGTCTAAGAAAAAAAAATGACAGGCTGGGTGGTGGTGGCACACACCTTGAATCCAAGCACTAGGCAGGCAGAGGCAGGTGGATCTCTGTGAGTTTGAGGTCATCCTGGTCTACAAACTATACAAGAAACCCTGTCTCAAAAAAACAAAACAACAACAACAAAAAGAGTAACAGAACTCACACCCTTAATTCCAGCACTAGGGAGATATAGACAATAGGAGCAGGGTCTTCAGTCATAAGTCTCAGAATTGGTCTCTGGACATTGAGGAGAGCATAGCAGTCTGGGTGAATCTGAGGAGCTGTGAAGTTGGGAGCAGTTTGAGGATCACCCCTTTGGTCTGAGCTGAGTTAGAGGTAAGAGCTAGTGGTCAGCTGCTTCGCTTTTCTGATCATCAGCTTCAACCCCAATATCTCTCTGGGTCATGTATTTCTTGTGTTACATGAGATGACTAAACATAAAATATAATAGCTATTACTTGTTCGGGAACCATTCACCTAAACTCTGGAATTCAGCTTTCTCTTTTACTTTACTTTCTTACAATTTCAAACATTTTCTTATATGTATGTTTGTGTGTCTGTGTGAGTGTATGTCATGTGTATGCATGTACCCTCAGAGGCCAGAAGAGTATGCTGTGTCCCTCCGAGCTCAAGATAGCTGTGAGCCACTTGTCATGAATGACAGAAACTGAACTTGAGTCCTCTAAAAGCAGGGATCTGAGCATCCCCTAGTCTCTTCAGCTTTCTCTTTTATAAGGTGGGCTTTATAAATGGGTGAGGGGTGTATTAAAGGAGATGACACTGGTGGTAACTCTGAGCTCTTAAACAGTGTGTGTGTGTGTGTGTGTGTGTGTGTGTGTGTGTGTGTGTGTTTTAAAAAAAAAAAAAGCTAAGTCTCACTGTATACAGCAGAGTGGCCTTGAAGTCAGACATCAGCCTGCCCTCAGCACTGGGACTAAAGACATTCACCACCACCCCCAGCTAAACATATTGTATCTTAGTGGAACATACTGCTTCTCTTAATATCACTAAATACCAGATATATGAAATTTAAAACTCCTGAAACCATAAATAAATAACATATAGTTTCTTGTGGCACAAGCTGAAAAATACTTTTCAAATTGTAACACACAACATGCTATATTTAGAATAAAAGTTATGGCAGCAATGTACTGAAGAATATAATCTAAGGATCACTAAGGATCTTTGTATTCATAACTTATTTTTATTATTAATTATGTAAACAGACATTTCTGTTTCTTAAAAATTATACATGGAGGCTGGAGAGATGGCTCAGCAGTTTGAAGCACTGGTTGCTCTTCCAAAGGGCCAGGATTTGATTCCTAGTACCCACAGAACCACTCACAATTGCCTGTAGCTACAGTTCCAGTGGCTCTGAAGACTTCTTTTGAATTCTATGAGCACCAGACTCACACATGGTGCACATACATACAGGCAAGCACTCATACAAATAAAAGTAAATCTTAAAAAATTTTGTTTAAAAAATTATGTATTAAATATTTAAACCTTAAAGCTAAAGTAATCTATATCAATAAAAGTTAGAATTTACTTGCTATAAAATTACTGAAATTATACTTCCTACACTTGTATATGAACCACCAAAGCTATTAGAAATCTTAGCTAAAAATGCACTCATTTAGAGACACACTTAAACTAGCTACTACAAGCCAGAATGGGGGTGTAGAATAAAACAAAGATACCCCCCATTCATAGAGCTTAATAAAATGAAGAAGAAAAGTTAAGCATGATGGCCCATGTCTATATTCACAGTATTTGGAAAGCTGAGTCAGGAGAATTATTGGTTTAAGCTTAGTCTAGTCCATTTAGCAAGACCTAGTCTCCCCCACTCCTCCCTCCTGATTACTTTTATGTAATTATGTGTCCCACAGCTCAGGAACATCTCACAGTCTCAACAAAGGTATCACCTACACAAAATCTAACAAAGCAAAAGGCAACATCAGAATAGTCCTGTCAAATGAAATGTCTGCAAGTATATATGTGCCCACACATACACACACATGCACACACAATAGCTCACATGCATACATGATAAATAACATCAACAAACAGAACAAAGACCCTTTGTTCCATCTTCTGTTTTTCCAAATGCTCCCATAGAAACAACGGAGTTGGCTTCTGCCAACAATCCCTCCTATAGAAAAGAGTCTGTAGCTTCACTGATTCAAATACTAAGTTGGTTTTCTCAGGGTTTTTCAAAGCCCAACTCCACAATTCAAAAATAAATGGCCAACACTAATTAATAAAAGCATATTTTTACATCAAAGGATGGCAATAAAAAATTGGGACATGACATTTAAATGTTTATTGTCTTAGGAATATGTTCAACAAGTGCAAGGGATATATTCTGTGAGAGCAAATTCTGTTAGAAACAGTGTACATCCCTGGAAATACAAACCG